AGCTTTACCATTTTAGTCACGATGGATCAGTAGTCAGTTCAGCATCGTGTTTTTGCATATGACACATTTATTAAAAATGGCAAATCCGTTATCAAAACACAGCGTATCTTCCGACGCCACTTTAATATTGCGCGAAATGACACGGTTCCAAGCCGGAATACATTGCTAAGATGAGTGCACAAGTTCAGAACAACAGGAACAGTATCAAAGAAAAAGCCACCCGGTCCAGCAAGAACAGTGAGAACACCAGACAACATCGCCACAGTGAGAACTGCTTTGATGAGGAGCCCAGGTCGCTCTGCACGAAGACATGCACAAGAGCTACGCATGAAGGGCGATTCTGTCAGAATAATTTTAAAATCAGATTTGAAATTTCATCCCTACAAAATACAGGTGGTACAGCAACTGAAAGAGAGGGACTATGGACAAAGAGAAGATTTCGCAGTACGTATGCAGGTGTTGTTTACTGATAATCCTGATGTAATGATGTTAATGAGCGACGAAGCTCACTTCCACTTAAACGGTTCAGTGAACAAACAAAACTTACGATATTGGGCTCCTGAAAATCCATGTAACTTTCATGAAAAATCACTCCACTCTCCAAAAGTAACGGTTTGGTGGGCTGTAGGCCACTTTAGGATAATTGGTCCGTATTTTTTTTAGGAAAATGGAGTCACATGGACAGTGCACACTATGCACGCTATGCGCTGCACGCTATGTTCACATGTTGGAAACATATCTCAAGCGACAACTTCGGAGGCGAGGAATAAACGTGAAAAATGTTTACTTCCAACAATATGGGGCCACAGCACATACTGCCACTGCATCCATGCGAGTTGTGAAGAAGATGTTCCCTGGCAAGTTAATTTCACGTTTTGGTGACGTGCCGTGGCCGCCGAGGTCACCAGATTTGTCGCCCTGTGACTATTTCTTATGGGCAGGGCATAAAATAACATGTTAACTGGGCGACACAAATGTCGCCCAGTGACTACGGGTGATGCCAGCATATTTTTTTTTAAATAATTCACATTTTAAATGTATTTGAATTAAAAATATAGCCTAACATTATCTAAATATTTTAGTATTGAGTATTGAGCTATGATTTTGGCCCAAGAGGTTGTGAAGGGAGCCACAACCTCAAACCTACAAAGTTCTAGAATACGTAATTAAATGAGATTAAATGGACTATTTGCAAGCAAATTTAATTGAAAAATTCATTAAAAGATACGTAGAAATGTGTAATTTTCACTTAAATTTATGCAAAAATTTCCAGGGGGGCCTAGGACCCCCTTTTTTGATGGGGGGTATTCCAGACCCCCGGTAAGTCCGGCACCACTGTCGCCCAGTGGAAATCCCTTAAAATATGCTCTGCTTATGGGGGTATTTGAAAGCTCGTGTCTATGTTCACAAATCACGAACATTATTGCACCTAAAAGATGCAATCACCGAAGAGGTGAATTTGAATGGACAAGGACATGTTGATGAGAGTGCGTAATGATTTTCTCCAGAGGTTGGAAACCTGTTTCCAGGTTAACGGCCATCACATGCATGATTAGTGCAGTAAAAATAAGAGAAAAATTCCATAAACCTAAAAAAAATTAGCACAACCGGGGAATTTGGTACAGATGTTGGGTGTTGGGTGTCCTTTTGAACATACAAAAGTCCCCTAAAATTGAAGCTGTGCTACGGCCGCCATATTGGAAAATGGCGGCATATTTCAGTATTTTTCGCTATAGTGACTTTATTGTTAGAGATACAGGAAAAAGATAAATATACAAAATGTAGGTCATCTAAAAATACACATTTTATGTATTTACCATCTTTCTCTAAACCCAACGGTTTTTGAGTTATTTGTTATTAAGTATATTTAGTTTTTTTCAGTTTATCAAAAATAGGTGAAACACGTGGAAATTGACCGTTGCTTTCAAGGATTGTGATAATTAATCCCATTTAGTTAAATAGTGTGATACTATAAAATCTTAAAATTTAAGCTTATTTTATAAGTAAAACAACTCTGCCACAGCAAACCTTCAGACTCAGCAAATTTCCATTTGATTGGATGTTTTATTAATTGTATTTAAATAAAATTAGATTCAACAGGTACCTAGGTTTGCTGCTATAGGTAGGTTATTATAGTGTGTTTTTTTTAGTAAAATATCAATAACTTAGTATAAAATAATTAATTTTCCAAGTTTGATCATAATAAATCTATAAACAAACAAACTGCAACAGTTAACTAATTAATAATAATAGCATGTTAGCTTAAGATTTACAATTTACAAATTTAAATATACAAATTTTTGTTGTGTTTACTAAAAAGATGGCGATTATTCGTCACGATTTTTATACTAACCGAAGGGGTTTTCAAAAGGAGATGAAGCAAGTAATTTAAGTACTGTAATATTAACTCGTACCAAGTATCGGAAATATTGTATGCAGTGAGGAAATCAACCATATTTTGTAAACTACGCAATAGTCATATTAATATTTTATACTCATTTTTACCCATTTAATAAATTAACATTTTAATATTTTGATGGCTTACCACTTACCACTATCACTCTGATATCAACTAAGTGGGATGAATAATTGTCGTAAACCTTGAAAGTAACCGTCGATTGCGATGGGTTTCACCGATTTTTGATAAATAAAACAAACTATACTATACCATACTTAATTAGTCACCAACATGAACTAGACACGAAAAACACCCTTCCAAATTTACAATGGGATGTCAAGTATAGTTAGTTAGTGTGGTGGTGCCATCAAAATACTAAAATGTTAACTATTAAATGGGTAAAAAATGAAGATAAAATATTAATATGACTATTGCGTACTTTACAAAATATGGTAGATTACCTTACTGCATACAATATTTTCGGTGCTTGGTACGAATTAATATCACATAAATAACAGGCTCCATCTCCTTTTGAAAACCCATTTGGTTAATATTCTAATCGTGACGAATAATCGCCACCTTTTTAGTAAACACAACCAAAATTTGTATATTCAAATTTGTTTATTGTAAATTTAAAACTCCCATGCTATTCTTATGAATTAGTTAACTGTTGCAGTTTGCTTGTTTATAGATATATTTTGATCAAACTTGGAAAATTAGTTATTTTATTGTAAGGTATTGATATTTTACTTAAAAAAAACACACTATAATAACCTACCTGTAGCAGCAAACCTAGGTACCTGTTGAACCTAATTTTATTTATATACATTTTTTAATAAAACATCCAATCAAATGGAAATTTGCTGAGTCTGCAGGTTTGCTGTGGCGTAGTTGTTTTACTCATAAAATAAGCTTAAATTTTGAGATTTTATAGTATCATACTATTTAACTAAATAGAATACATCATCATAATCCTTGATAGTAACGGTCAATTTCCATGTGTTTCACCTATTTTTGATAAATAGAAAAAACTAAATATACTTAATAACAAATAACTCAAAAACCGTTGGGTTTAGAGAAAGATGATAAATACAAAAAATGTGTATTTTTAGATGACCTACATTTTGTATATTTAGCTTTTTCCTGTATCTTTAATAATAAAGTCACTATAGCGAAAAATACTGAAATATGCCGCCATTTTCCAATATGGCGGCCGTAGCACAGCTTCAATTTTAGGGGACTTTTAGTATGTTCAAAAGGAAGGTACACCCAACATCTGTACCAAATTCCCCGGTTGTGCTAATTTTTTTTGGGTCAAAACATATTTTTTTTTACTGTACTAGATATCATCTTTAAGAAATAAACCCAAACTAGGATAAAAGGTTCCATAAAACATATGTTTTTTGAAATGGTATGTTTTCACCAAAATATGTTCAACAATTAAATAATTTTACTATATAAAATAAGGTTGTACTATTCATTTAAAAAACGTCCGGTTCCCGGCAGTCACCCTGTATTACATTAGCCAAACCAAAGACGCTTACAAAGACAAAGTTTTGTCTTTAGAACTGGCCCTGCTCAGAACAGATGCAACATGACAAACTTAGACTAGTTTTATTTGTTTTAGCATTTAAGAAGGAACAAATTTTAAGTATAATAATTGATTAAACTTTCCCAATCGTAACACCACCACCACCTCATTTAATTGATGGCGTCACGTCAGTCTTTTCTCTTGAGGGAACACCATTACCGAACGATACGGAGTAGAGCCATGAGCCTTGGCGGTGAAGTGGATAGCGTACTTGGTTAGTAAACTTATGGTAGCCGGTTCGAATCCCACTGGAGCCGTTAACTTTTTGTCAAAAGATTAAGCTTAGAATACTTTTTAACTGTACATCTTTTGTTATAATTTAAGGCCTTTATAATTTTATTTTATGAACAGAATTATTTTCCAATTAGTAAACCATCATTAGATTTTTTCATTATCAACAAGTTTGGTTAATTTGGTTAGGCTAAGACAGTTTAATTTTATAATAAAAAAATTATTAAATTGAATTTGAGGCATTTATAATTTTATCTTTAAAACAGAACTATTTTTTCAATCAGTAAACCTTCATTCAATTTTTTCATTATCAGCAAATTTGGTTAGGTTATGACAGTTTAATTTTATAATTAAAAAAATATAAAACTGAATTTAAGGCATTTATTATTTTATTTTATTAACAGAACTATTTTGTTGGTTAGTAAGCCTTCATTCGACTTTTTAATTATCAGCAAGTTTGGTTAGGTCATGACAGTTTAAACAAATATAATTTAAATTTAACCTACAATTTGCCGCGAACAGTTCGGCTATGCTCGTAATAATTCAGAAGTATTCAGCACGGCGCGGTGGTGGGGGGTGTTCCTGTCGGTAACGTCAGCTTTACAATTGCAATCATGTAGTTTAAAACTTGAAGAAAACTAAGTTTTTATTAGTGGGATATATTTTGTTGAATTCAGCTATTGATGAAAATGTTTGCAGTGCTTCATTATAAGATGAAAAAGTACAAGTGAATTGTATTTTTTTGTATTTAATACTAACAATTTAAACATTGTTTATCAGATCAACCAGGCAATGTCAATAAAGACAGAGACAGAGTGGTACAGACAAGGTAGGAGCAGAGTGAATGCTGTAGGAGAAGGTTATACCATGGGAGCCTTATATTGGCAGCTCAATGATGTGTGGCAGGCACCTTCCTGGTCATCTATCGGTAAGTTATCACACTGTCAGATTAACTAGTCTATGTAAATAAAGACAGGGACAGAGTGGTACACACAAGGTTGGAGCAGAGTGAATGCTGTAGGAGAAGATTACACCATATGGGAGCCTTATATTGGCAGCTAAAAGATGAGTGGTAGGCACCTCCCTGGTCATCTATTGATAAGTTATCACATTGTCAGCATTAAAGACAGGGACAGAGTGGTACACACAAGGTAGGAGCAGAGTGGATCCTGTAGGAGAAGGTTACATCATGGGAACCTTATATTGGCAGCTCAATGATGTGAGGCAGGCACCTTTCTGGTCATCTATTGGTAAGTTATCACATTGTCAGATCATCTAGGCTATTAAAGACAGGGACAGAGTGGTACACACAAGGTAGGAGCAGAGTGAAAGCTGTAGGAGAAGGTTACACCATGCAAACCTTATATTAGCAGCTCAATGATGTGTGGCAGGCACCTTCCTGGTCATCTATTGGTAAGTTATCACATTGTCAGATCAACTAGGCTATTAAAGACAGAAACCGAGTGGTACACACAAGGTAGGAGCAGAATGAATGCTGTAGGAGAAGGTTACACCATGCGAACCCTATATTGGCAGCTCAATGATGTGTAGCAGGCACCTTCCTGGTCATCTATTGGTATGTTATCACATTGTCAGATCAACTAAGCTATGTCAATAAAGACAGGGACAGAGTGGTACGGACAAGGTAGGAGCAAAGTGAATGCCGTAGGAAAAGGTTACACCATGGGAGCCTTATATTGTCAGCTCAATGATGTGTGGCAGGCACCTTCTTGGTCATCTATTGGTATGTTATCACATTGTCAGATCAACTAGGCTATGTCAATAAAGACAGGGACAGAGTGGTACACACAAGGTAGGAGCAGAGTGAATGCTGTGGAAGAAGGTTACACCATAGGAGCCTTATATTGGCAGCTCATTGATGTGTGGCAGGCACCTTCCTGGTCATCTATTGGTAAGCTATCATATTGCCAAATCAACTAGGCTATGTCAATAAAGACAGATCAGAGTGGTACAGACAAGGTAGGAGCAGAGTGAATGCTGTAGGAGAAGGTTACACCATGGTAACCTAATATTGGCAGCTCAATGATGTGTAGCAGGCACCTTCCTAGTCATCTATTGGTAAGTTATCACGTTGTCAAATAACTAGGCTATGTCAATAAAGACAGAGAAAGAGTGGTACAGACAAGGTAGGAGGAGATTGGATCCTGTAGGAGAAGGTTACACCATTGGAACCTTGTATTGGCAGCTCAATGATGTGTGGCAGGCACCTTTCTGGTCAGCTATTGGTAAGTTATCACATTGTCAGATCAACTAGGCTATTAAAGACAGGGACAGAGTGGTACAAACAAGGTAGGAGCAGAGTGAATGCTGTAGGAGAAGGTTACACCATGGGAGCCTTATATTGGCAGCTCAATGATGTGTGGCAGGCACCTTCCTGGTCATCTATTGGTAAGTTAACACATTGTCAGATCATCTAGGCTATTAAAGACAGGGACAGAGTGGTACACACAAGGTAGGAGCAGAGTGAATGCTGTAGGAGAAGGTTACACCATGGGAGCCTTATATTGGCAGCTCAATGATGTGTGGCAGGCACCTTCCTGGTCATCTATTGGTAAGTTAACACATTGTCAGATCATCTAGGCTATTAAAGACAGGGACAGAGTGGTACAAACAAGGTAGGAGCAGAGTGAATACTGCAGGAGAAGGTTACACCATGGGAGCCTTATATTATCAGCTCAATGATTTGTGGCAGGCACTTTTCTGGTCATCTATTGGTAAGTTATCACATTGTCCGATCAACTAGGCTATTAAAGTCAGGGACAGAGTGGTACACACAAGGTAGGAGCAGAGTGAATGCTGTAGGAGAATGTTACACCACGGGAGCCTTATATGAGCAGCCCAATGATGTGTGGCATGCGCCTTCCTGGTCATCTATTGGTAAGTTATCACATTGTCAGATCAACTAGGCTATGTCCATAAAAACAGGGACAGAGTGGTACAGACAAGGTATGAGCAGAGTGAATGCTGTAGGAGAAGGTAACACCATGGGAACCTTATATTGGCAGCTCAATGATGTGTGGCAGGCACCTTCCTGGTCAGTGGTCATCTATTGGTAAGTTATCACATTGTAAGATTAACTAGGCTATGTCAATAAAGACAGAGAAAGAGTGGTACAGACAAGGTAGGAGCAGAGTGAATGCTGTAGGCGAAGGTTACACCATGGAAACCTTATATTGGCAGCTCAATGATGTGTGTCAGGCACCTTCCTGTTCATCTATTGGTAAGCTATCACATAGTCAGATCAACTAGGCTAATGTCAATAAAAACAGGGACAGAGTGGTACAGACAAGGTAGGAGCAGAGTGAATGCAGTAGGAGAAGGTTACACCATTGGAGCCTTATATTGGCAGCTCAATGATGTGTGGCAGGCACCAGTTGCTTTGAAAGTTCCCATGTTATCCTTATGAAGAACATAATTGTACATTTTGATCAGCTGTATAATTTAATTGCTGTTATTTATTTTTCAATTCAATGAGACACATTGAGTACATTTATTTACTATTTATTATACTGTGAGTTTGTGTAAACAAAACCCCCAAGATGGATTGTGTTAGTATGGTTATTGGTTGTATCTTAAATTTGTGATGCCAACAATTTAATTTTGAATAGAGAAAAAACCTCCACTATGTTTTTTGGCCTGAGGGATCTTACCAAGGAGGAGGGGGGCATTTCAGCCAAGTTCCTTGGTGTCTGGCTGGATCCTACTCTTTCTTGGTTGGATCACTCATCGGAATTATGCATGAGATTGGCTTGTGACATTTTTGCTCTAAGAAGACTCTGTGGTGTCGTCTCGCAAAATGTAGTTAGAACAGCTTACTTTGGTTTATTTCATGCTAAGATTACTTATGGTTTGATTGTCTGGGGCAGTGCCTCAGCATCAAAAGATGTTTTTATCCTACAAAAACGTGCCGTTCGAATCATTGCAGGAGTTCATTATAAAACTCACTGTAAACCATGGTTTGTTCATTTAAAAATTTTAACTCTTTATTCTGCCTTTATTCTTCAAAACTTGCTATTCATTAAAGATCAACCAGATTTGGTGCATAATAATGACGTGCACTCTTACAACACTAGAATAAGAAATGACTTACAATTGCCTTATGTTAGATTAAGTAAATCAATGAAAAAGCCATCTGTATTAGCCATAAGGTTATTTAATAAGCTACCCCTTGCTATTAGGGACATGGACATTATTAAATTTAAAACTGTTGTAATCAGGTTCTTACTTGCAAATGCATTTTATTCAATTGATGAATATTTGACAAAAAAATTGACTTGCAATGATTTTGTGTAAGATGGGTGAGCCCTTTGTTCAATTTATTATTGTATAGATTATATATTGTAACCTGACATATCCAATGTATTCAAAAGAATATCTAATGGAAATAAAGATCTTATCTTATCTTATCTTATCTGTGTATTTATCGTTGTTTTGTGTCGCTATGACGGATTGTGTTAGCATGATTTTAACTTAAATTTGTGCATTTATCGTTATTTTGTTTAGCTGTAAATTGTTTATTTGTTGTTTTTTTCTTTTAAATGCCTCCGACACGACGACAACGAAACATAGACAGGAGGCGTAATCGTGATAACGACCGCAGCTACAGAACAGTGGCGCGTAATAGGCTTAAACTCATCACAGCTATAGTATATTTGATGATTTCATGTATTCAATATTTGTAAAACAGCGCGTTTCTTGTAGGAAACCACATTTGTATGATTAAAATGTAAATGTGTGTTAGTGTGTGTGTACATCACACCATATCACGCCACGTCTGTGACGTCATATAAGGTGATTTTTAATAAATTCCCATTGGCTGCCACAACCACGCTATACCCTTGTATCTAACCACTACGTCAGTCTGTCCTAGTCCAGCAACCGTTACACCTCTATCCCGGTCCGTGCAGCCCGTGGTATTAACTAATTATGTAGTTTTTATTTTCAGTAGTCCTGTCTCCTGTCAAGTTAAGACGTTGTCACAGTGGCGAAGTCACACTGGCGACGAGGAAGTTACAGTGATAACGATGGTGTTATTAAGAACGTAATTATTCGTGTGTGCTGTGTAATTATTGTTCGACCGTATTTTTAAATTTTAATAAGTATTAGGGTTAATGTCCGATATCGACAACCCAGTGTTAATTTTATCTCGTGTCTTCTTTGAACAAGATACAATGTCTGGAATCATCGGCGGAATCGGAGACTTTGATGGGAGTGAAGAATCTTGGACCTCGTACGTTGAAAGGTTTGAGTTATTTGTCGAGTGTAACGGGATTAGTGATGCCAAAAAAGTGAGTACTTTATTGACAGTAGTCGGGAAGAATATAGATTGTAAAAGTACAATCTGTTACGCGATTTGTGCATGCCCGATAAACCTAACGCGAAATCTTTTGAAGATATAGTGAAGTTAATTCAGGATCATTTACATCCTAAACCATCATTCATCGCGGAACGATACAAGTTTAGTAAACACATGACAGCACATGACCCTGTACAATCTCAACTATTAGGTTACAAATGCGCCCTAACACCACCCCAAAACAACTTTTCATTCTCAATTGGCCCTCTATAAATGACCTGTGTTGCCTGTACAGCGAGGCATTTTGAGAAGGTGAAAACTGGCCGGAATGCTTTAGGTTTATCAATAACGAAGATAAACATGGTCTGAGTTACACACCGGTAATCTTTGAGTTGACTCTTTTAAACTCATTGTAAATATGACTGTTATTCGTTTTGAAATAACTCCTGTAATACTTTGCAATTGCTCGAATTCGACACTATAATACTTGTTTTAATGTCTTGTTGTTTTTGTTTGTCATACTTGTTTTAATAATGGTCTTTATTAAAAAACTATATCAGGCATAATTTATTACCACTCCATGACGTAATTTTATAATTGCAAGTTTTTTGAAGAATTTACTTGGTTCTGGCCTTAACAAAATTCCATCTTAAACACTTATTAATTTTACATATTAAATAGTAGGCTATAGTTTGTGGGACAGAAACAAAGCAATCTAATTAACTCACAGAGCATTCCAGCAGAAAACCATGGCCATTGATGCTGCTGTAGTGGCTCCAGATCTCAGGCCAAAATCATAAACTCCGTCCGTACAGTACATGATACCATGTTATGTGATATTAAACATACTCCCTTGGTAGATTTGTCATCCTTATGGCACCTCGTTTTACCAAATAAAACAATCTAATGATAAACAATAGCACTTCCCTGGTTATATTACAAGAAATTAAAATAGCACACATAGAATTAACCCTACAATAATAGAAACAAAATTTTATTGAGGGTCACCCAGTTCCGCGGTTACAAATAGGCCCGGGCCGAGGGGCCCAAGAGTATTTTTGTTTTGTTAGGGGCGCAAGCAACAGGCACGATTTGGAAAATATCTGAAATTGTGCGACAGTAGAATCCTCCTCACTTCGTTTCCCACTCATCATGACTCATCTCTGCCACTGCTTGCTCTATACACCTCTATAGTCAATGATATTATGTCACTACTTGTTCCGCCTTATCTTTATATGTAGGCTATCAATTTTTTATGACATTTTTTCATTACACACCAATGTCAGTTCCTTTTGTCAAATCAGGTGAGAAACATACAGTAGACTCCCTCTTATCCGGACACCTTTTAAACGGACATCGGTTTAACCGGACTACATTCGGCGGAAATGACATCTCTTTAACTTGACAATTTTTATCAGCACATTGGTTTAACCGGACTAGATCAGCAGGAAGTGGGCGGTACTGAAACGATTATTCTCGTGGAAAAGAATTGAGACCAGGGATCACGTGTCTAAATGCAATGCTCTCCTAAATTTAAGTTGAATATCACAGTAAACGGTCCATTTTAACGAGTTTTTGGGGACGTCGGTTTAACCGGAAAAACTGTTATCCGGACTGGCCTCGGTCCCAAGGAGTCCGGATAAGAGGGTGTCTACTGTATTATCAATTGGTTAGTGAATAAAGCTACTGCTGTGTTTTTGCTTATGATTTTACTGTATTTAGTTAGACAAGTTTTATTTATTATTTATTTATTTATTATAATATCACACACTTTATCTGTGAAATGAGCAACAAACCAAGTGGAAGTGAATTTAGAAAGAGGGCAGCAACAAACTTTTGGACAGTAAAAAAGAGTTACAAAATGTTCCTTAAATAATTAGCTTACAGCGTCAACTCATTTAGGCCTATCATGTGTACAGAAAGTGATGTAACCCTAAAAATAAACATTGATAATGCTATTAACAAGTTTGCCGAACAAAATTTAGGAAAAAACAGTCGTTTAAGGTTTTTAACTGTTTAGTGTTTTAAATGTTTGCAATTATACATCTTATAGCCTACATCTTAAATTAAAACATTTGTTTTTGTATTTTTTACTTTTTTTTACAATGTAATGGTTTGGGGCACGTATTCATTATTGACAACAATAACCGACGTAACACTAGGCATGTCATGTCAAGTGTGTCCTAGTTCGTGACTCGACCGTCACCACCCTGGAGCGCTGACATTGCAGTGGTGGGGAGTAGCCGAGACCGCCGGACAGTGGACAATTTCTTTGGCAGTCGACAGCGAGCGTATGTGTCGCCCACAACTCTCTCTCGAGACCATATAACCCATATATATATCTCGAGACGCGCACGAGCGAGAGGTTCGCGCACACCAAGCACCCTTGCTTGGGATGTGTGTCGAATCCTTCTAACGTATCCGGACGAAGGTATGCGGAACATCTATTGGTCAATCGAGTATACTTAAATATTGTAAACCGTAAGTACACTGTATAGCTAGCGTATGCGTTGTATCCCTCCTCGTATCCACTTTAGCGAAAACTAAAAATAAATAAAAAAATAATAATAAATCATGAAAGTAGTTTTTATAGAAAGTACATTGGTAAATTTGTCAATATGCCACCATTTTGTTTCTACTAAGGTTAGGGGGTTGAAATTTTTCCAGAATATTTTTAAAACCTACTTTGTAAACTGTGTAAAGTTTAAAAAAGTTCGGTGCATGAATGGGCACGTAATATAAAATCAAACGTTTAAACCCCTTCGTGGGACTCCCTATATTATTGACCGACGCTGCGAGTGCAGTGTCGCAGTAGCCTACACCTTTTAGTTTATTTATCTAAAGCGATTTTATTTTATTTCATATTAAGTATTTTATTTATTTTCCTAGAGCCAAGAAGTGCATTGGCATACGAGACAAGACTTATTTTATTTCATTATTTAATTATCGCGAGTTAGCGACATTTCTGTTAAATACGAGAAGATTATTTTTAGTTTTATTTGAGAAGTGATTTCTTTCGTTATGAACAATTGTTGGATAATAGAGACTACAGTAGACTCCCTCTTATTCGGACTCCTTGGGACCGAGGCCAGTCTGAATAATGGTTTTTCCAGTTAATCCGACGTCCCCGAAAACTCGTTAAAACGGACCGTTTAAATGCATATTGTATACAGTATTTGACTTAAATTTAGGAGAGCATTGTATTTAGACACGTGATCACTGGTCTCAAATCTTTCCCACGAGAACAGTCATTTCAGTTCCGCCCACTTTCTGCCGATCTAGTCCGGTTAAACCGATGTGGTGATAAAACTTTTCCGGTTAAAGAGATGTCATTCCAGCCGAGTGTAGTCTGGTTAAACCGATGCCCGGTTAAAAGGTATCCGAATAAGAGGGAGTCTACTGTATAGGCTAGTGTAATCTAAAATCAGTTAGCTCACTTTGTTTCAGAATTCAGTGGTAAATGGAAAATGCTGCATTACTTTGCTGTAGACTTTTTCTCTCCAGTATTGGTTTCCCCGAGCAGAGACGCCCTTAATGAACTGCATGTGTTTGTGATCTCAGACCTCAAGCTTCACACCGCCATGAGCCTCGTGATGCGACTCAGTGTTTACAATTGGCACTCATTGCAGCCAGTGTTTAGTCAGCAATATCACTTCATGATGGTAAAATGTATAATGGAAATACCTCTTTGCTTTGTTGGCGTTATTTCTAGATCAATAGTAAACAACTGTAATCTACAATGTATATGACACCCAAAAATGATATCATAAAATCTTAAAATCTGAAATTAATCTATAGAGCTAGTGCATGATATGGCTATGCATCATGCATCTGGCAAACCACTATTGACTAGTCGCTAAAACTATTTCCTCCACTGGCAAACGTCACTGTATTAGATTCATTTAAGCCTATAATAGATCTTACCTCTGAAACTGAGTCTTGCCTGCAAATGACCGATGCAAATTTCAGCTCGGCCCTCACTTCCAACAGTATTTTCTGGCGTTCTAATTATCTCTGATCTAATTTTATTTGTTGTTCCTGTTCATTTCCTACAATGTTCTATTTAATCTAATTTCTTTTGATGTTCCATCTCTTTTAGTTTTAACTCTTTTTCCATTCTGTTCAATTCTTGTATTTTTTCTAATTCAATTAGTAATCAACTGCGATAACTTTCTTTTGAGGATTTACTAGCACCACTATGAGAACATAATGATTGTCTTATTGGTTTTCATAACTTTTTGTAAGGTCTAAATTCCTTTCAGTAAGTCATTAATTGGTGGTGTGTACCTGTCAGGTAATTTCTTGACCCTAGAAGATTTCCTGGTAGACATTTTATACTGATGTTCATGGATGGATAATGATGTTCATAGTAAGAATTATTTTTTTAAGAAGCAGGATTGTAACAAAAGATTTAAAATAACTAACACCACCAACAATCCAGCATCTAAAATTACAGTTTTCCACCAAAACATACAGTGTTTATCTAGCAGAATAGATTCATTAAAAATTACTATTGATGATTTAAAACCTGATATTATAATCTTGACAAAACACAAATTTACAATAGATGAGATAAATAGTTTTGTACTTAGTGGCTATAAAACAGTTAGTTATTGTGTTAGGAATAATAACCAAGGAGGTGGGGTTATGATAATGGTCTCAAATGTGATTAAATGCAAAAAAAATTACCAGTAAATGTATAGACAAATTAAATATTGATAAAGTTTTTGAATCCTGTTCCATAGAAGTAAAAACAAATTATGTAAAATTTATTTTAGCTGGTATTTACAGAACCCCATCTAGGAATATTGATAGTTTTTTAGAACATTTAAATAAACTTTTACATTGCTTAGGAGATATTAATAATAATATTTGCGTTGGTGGTGATTTTAATATAGATATTTTGTCTGAAGATAACAGAAAAATAGATTTTGTTAATTTATTAAAGTTGCACAACATGTACTATACAGTAAACATACCATCTAGAGTTACAGATACAAGTGAAACAGCAATAGATAACTTTATTACTAACATTGACAAAGCCTATATTAAAGTGCTGTGTTTAGTAACTGCACTCTCAGATCATGATGGGCAATTGCTCACAATAAATACTATGAGTAAAGAAAAATCCAATAACCCTAAAATATTATTGGAATCAAAAAGGATTTTTAGCAAAAATAACATTTTATACTTATATGCCAACCCCGTACGAAGGACGGGTACTCTGCTAGTAGTTTGATAAAAGATTTAGAATTTGAGAACTGGACACAACTTTACCAAACCCCTATTGATAAAAAATTTACATTTTTTTACAATATTCTAAGGTTTTACTTTGATAAGAATTTTCCTGTGACTAATGTTCGTACAAAACACGGATTTAAGAATTGGATAGATAGAGAGATCAAAGAAGAAAGGCAAAACTTATTAAACACGTGTAAAAACAAAAGGAAAAATAAAAATGTGACAGTTAAATTGAACATAAAGCAGCAAAAAAGAAGGTTAAAAAAACTCATAATTGAAAAGAAGAAACAATACTTTCACAATAAAATCACTTTATCTGAAAATGTACTTGGAATTTAATCAATACTGAACTTAGAAGAAATTCTTAAATTCTAGCAGAGTACCCGTCCTTCGTACGGGGTTGGCATATAAGTATAAAATGCTTATTGCAGTTATGGGTGAGGACATGGTTTAAGAAAGTTTGGTTCTTTTGTTCTACCACTGCCCCTGAACCATAGAAAAAAGTAAAGGTCTCATTGTGTACCACAGCTTTATGGCTAGGCAAAACTACCCCATAAGTTAATGAATTATCAAGCAAGAACAGGATGATTAAATACATGGGTAGATGTGGCAAGAGAAGGAATTAAAATTGCTTAGATCGAAGTAAGAATGTTACTGCTATCTGGAGAATCAGATATTTTTATCAAATACAAAAAAACCAATTTAAATGCTGATAAAATTCTGTATTTTTATGACCAAAGATGAAGATTTACTTATAAATCTGGATACAATCTGAATGATTTTTCTAAAGCAGATTGAATTAGTTGTTAGTAATAAATATTGACTCCTTCCGTAACATGATAGACTAATTATATGAACTCATTCTCCCATATAGTGAAAGTGGCTTTGACATCAAACAAACTCATGAACAAACAATTATAAAGACTCCTAAAAAACCTTTTGGGCAATCTAAAGCCGATAAAAAGGTAGGAAATATTGTGTTATAAGCGAATTCAACAATCACGTTTTTTAGGGAACACAATCGTTATACTTATTATTATGCTTATCCTCCCTTCATTTAACTAAGATTTTAACGACTTCACTCTATCTATCGCAGTTAGCTGAATTAACATAAAACCTCGAGATTAACCGTCGATTTCGACGGGGTTCCACTAGTCAAAATTAATTTGACAGTTAGTACTGCTTGTTTACATTTTTAAACTTTGTAGGTTTGTTCTTTGTTGTCATGGATACCATCAATTATTAAGTACTAAAGAATGACAAATTTATCTGATAGTTCATACTGTACCTTTGTAGTGAAACTGGCCATCCTGACCATTTGCTTGTACTTTGTAAATGGGCATAGCAGGATGTACTCGTGCAATCAACATTTGTTCTACAATCGTCAGGTCAGTTAATTCGTTCGGGACACTTGACACATCCATATTGTTTAACGCCGTGAATTTAGTAGCATTTGAACGACAACGCGAACAAATCGGTGATTGGTTTGAAGCTGTTAGTTGTTGCCGATGACAGTTAGTGCAAGTGTAAAATTTTAGTGCATCTAATTCATGTTGGAATTGATTAGCTAACTGTCTATCATTATCAGCTTCTTCCGCCACTGCTTCATCTGGTTCTTCTTGTTCACGACGCCACTCTCTTACAATATTTGCATTATTGGTGCGACGACCAATATTACGTTGGGCCTTTGAGGCATGCTCAAAACAAATATAGCAAAACTGTTACTTCCATTGATAAACTGTTACATTCCAACTTTAACCTAGGATGAAAGTAAACATTGAAATGTAAACAAAACAGTTACAAACAATTAACGTATGTTTATCTTATTTAAATGAAACGAGATAAAACCATATGTCATAAACCAAATATAATTTTCCTTTCAACTTACATTAAAATAACAAGCGAAATTGCGTGACCCGTAAAATAAAATCCAGAAGGAAATTCGCAAATATTTTTTACCAAAACATTGTGCTCAGTATTCTTTAGCTGTTGGCCAAATTTCATATCAATTGGTCAAGCCATTACATTCTGATGCTCTTACAAAGAAGTTACAAAGTGAGGGAAAGTGAGCTTCGCTCGCTCTGCTCGCTTCGCTCAATAATCTTATGTATGAAGACAAAGGCTTATGAAACAATAGTTGTTTCGAAACTAGTTGCTTGAGACTACTATAGGATTGCCAACGTATGATATGATAAACCTATTTTATTTGTCATACTCATAAATCAATCCTGGAGGCAATTCTGAATAAACAAAATAACAGTTCCTATGTTTTAAAATATTACCAAAATTTTTTCACACTATATTGCTGGGGTGCTTGTGATATAATATTGATCATATTATATTTTAACAGTTGGGAGCGGGAGTTGTGGAAGTGGGATCATGGGACATCAGCCACTTTCTACAGTCAATTGAGGGCTGCAATAAAGGAGGAAAGCCAGTAAACAACTGTTTTTTTCACTTCTCGGTGCTGCCAAACAATTCTTCAAGCAGTTTGGGTCCAGACAACTTCTACTTCCCAGTACCTCTACACAGTGTCAACTCTCCCTCTAAAGCCAATGTTCAGGTATTTATAAAAATAAACATTTTGTTATCAAACATAAAAAATACATTGTTAAAACTATAATAAGCCATTGTCTAGATATGAATAAGGTTTTTAGTTTGAAGCCCATTAATCTACAAGTATTTTTTAGTTCAGATTTACTAGAATGCCCGAGTTTCACAATAAGTTACAGTATTTTATTTTGTCTAACTACTTAATCCTATCACTGTTCTTCCAACCAGGGATTATTAACTTATTCAATGTTTTGTAAATGAATTGCAATAGCCATAATACAGTACTGTGATCTGCTGTAACCTAGTGATGCAATTGGATCCTCAAACAATCCTATGGTATACTTTTAATTGGAATGGTGACCATACGAAGGTAGGTCAGGTATTTTAAGCCAAGTAAGAATGGAGATGAGTGTAGGATGGGTGGCATGATCTTGTAGTCTTGTTACTTACTAAGGTCGACATGTTTCTTGGACGGGACTGTTAATTAATAGCCCATACAGCAAATAGTTGTAGTACTCATTAGTGCGGAAGTTAATCCACATCAGGGAGCATCGCATCCTCAGATCATGCCTATAAATATCCACAATTCGCTACCTCCAAGTACCTGGATTAATGGTACCTGTAGTCATGTTAAGTAAACTCCCTCAAGTTCACAGGGCCATCACGGTGGGTTTGTCGGACCCAGAGATATTATCTGACAACCCACCTAGCATATTAAATCAAATAAAATCAAATCAAATCAATTTGTTGTTGTAGACATTTCACAATGCTTTAACAATCGTCATAAAATACATAATGCTGTTATTAATACAGCAAATGAATACTTACATGTAATCAATCAATATAATAAGTTCTAGTATTAAAAAATATATAAATACAGGCACAATTAAATAGAAACCTACTACAGTATATATTATAACCCTTATAAGGGTTCAAACACCTACAAGATTCTGGGACTTGACACCCTGTTGCAACCGGACCACATCATTTGTCTGAGTTTTCAGTTGTTTAAGTATGTTAAAAATTATAAAATTATATTAAGAAAATCAGTTGTCCGAGGTTTGTTTAACAAAAATTATTATATTTGGTTGAATCAATTATCCGAGTTTTCATTTGTCCGAGTTTACTAAATTATTTTAAATTATATTAAAATATTAGTTTTTCGAGTTTTTATCGGTCCGAGGTTTGTTTAAATAATAATAATACTTCTCTGGATGTGGTGGTTCTTGAGGCCTGATACCAGTCTGTCTCGTAGATGGTCTGGAAGCTTTTCTTCAAACTCACAATGTTGCGATAGCTGCTTAAGTTGTACGATCTAATCACTCACTGTTTCGTGTTCTAACTGATGTCTGCGGCTGAATTTAAAACGTTCTGTAATAAACGACGCTTTCGGGTGTAAATGTTTACCGACCGTGTCTACTATTTCCTCGTACGTCTTGGACGAAGGTTTATCAGGTGTGATTAAGTCCTTTAACAATTTATACGTCCTGACTCCCATTACCGTTAGTAGTGTGCTCGCCTTCTTTGTGGCATTAATCCCGTTGCAGTCTACAAAAAGTTCAAATCGCTCTGTATACGATTGCCAAGTTTCTTCGGCGCTGTCAAAAGGACCGATACTACCAATTGTTTCCATGTTTGTTGAAAAATACGTTTGCGCTAACTGTCCGAATTGCTCGAAATAACTTTCATTCAACGGCATAAGTGCCTTTTTTACACTTATTTAACTGTCCGTAGTCTAATATTACGTCCATAAAACAAAGAATAAAGTAATGTTAGGTGTACCTTTCTACACTCACGAAAACGTTTCCGCCAAGAATATGAGTCTGAGTCAATATTCACGTTTGTTTGACGTTCATCGACCGTTTCTTCACGTTCACTTGTCACTTTGTTCACTTGCACTGTCACTGAGGTTGCGAATTATGTTTTAAAACGTGATACTATTCCGTTTTTCTCGTCGCCAGTTGTACAGTACGTCGACATCGCACTGTACGTCTATTATCAGGGATGGGGTGTTGTAAGTAAATACACTGGTTACATTTTAAAAAGGCTCAGAGGGCCGCAAAGGGTAAATGATGTTGACGGGTCTAGGACATGGTGTGAACTGACGTGAGGAGAGGGGATTTAGGCTGTGTTCGGAAAGGTGGTGTGATGGTTGCGTGATGTGGCGTGATATGACTTCACGGGAAATAGCCATGAGCTGCTTTATTGGAAATAATATGGTACAGGTAGGCCAAGGGATCTCATGCCCAGGCCTTGTAGGGCTGGGCACATAAATATCACATGGAATGCTGTCTCCTCCTCTTCTCCACATTTCCTACATAAGAGGCTTTCAACTTGAATTCCCATCTTGTGTAAATGTCCACGGAATACCCAATGGCCGCTAATAAAGCCAACCACCTTCCGCAGGGTCCTCCTACTCAGCCCAAGGGCATCTGCCGCTAACGCACCTGTAGGTGCCTGCAGCATTCTCTTTGACTGTGCATTTCCTTATGTTCTTTCCTTGTTCCTTCGATGTTATATGCCCATCCACTGGTGAACAGCTCTCCTTGCTGTGCTGTAAGCAATGCCACACGTCGGCTCTGGACCCATGCTTTCAGCTCCTTTGTTTGCCCACTTGTCAGCTCCCTCATTGCCAGCAATACCTTTGTGCCCTGGAACCCAACTAAGGATGATCCTGTTGTTCTTTCATGGCCTGATGACAGTCCCATACAGCCTTGGAGGTAAAGTCAAAACTGTCATTAGTGCTGCTTTGCTGTCTGAGTTCATGTATACAGTGTGGCCTATAAGACCGCGCTTCAAACACACTCTTGCACACTCAGACAGGGCAACAACTTCTGCCTGGAATACAGTGGCCATTTTTCCCAGGCTTACGCAGAACTGCGCCTTGGGTCTGACTCCATATATTCCAGCCCCCGTGCCCGTTGGCTTTTTCGAGCCATCCGTATACCAAGTGATCCCCCTTTTCATGTATTCAGGTTCACCCTTGTCCCAGGCATCCCTGTCAACAATGTCGACATTGTATGGTTTTTCTAGATCTGTGATCTTCACCATCCTGTCTGGTAGCATTTCCAAGGTGTTCATCTGCACCGTGTCCACAATTCTTGTGTGCTCGCTGGAGGCATTATACTTCCAGTTGCCACTGCAAGCCATTCTATAGGTTGCCATCCTTGCCTCTCCTTTCACAATGATGTCGAGAGGTGGCAGGTTTAGCATTACTTCCAGGGCTGCAGTTGGAGTGCCTCTCATGGCTTCTGTTATGCTAAGGCATGCCACTCGCTGGATCTTTTGTAGTCTCTTTACAGCGGTAGTTTGCATTACCTTGGTCCACCAGACCATCGAGCCATACACCATCATCGGTCTTGCAATCCTAGTGTATAGCCAGTTAGTCATTTGTGGGCTTAGACCCCAGGTCTTCCCAACAGCCCGTCTCATCATCATAAGTGTGGTCTGAGAGCGTTGTGTTATATGTGCCAAATGGCTGTTCCAGGTGAGCTTGTCGTCCAGCCTTATTCCTAGGTACTTGAACTCCCTCTTAACCTGGATCTGATTACCGAAGAGAGTTGCTACTCTAGTGATATCAACATTTCTCTTCCTTGTAAATGGTACCATTACAGTCTTCATTGGATTGACCCTCAGACCCTCCTGGTTACACCACCTCTCCACTATGGACAATGCTCTCTGCATGAGTTCCAGGCAAGTGTTCATAGAATCATACAATCAGAATCATACAATTTGCCGATGACACTACTGTGTTGGTCAAAGCCCCATCTGTTGCCCTAGCGTCTATCAAAGCATCGGAAAATTTGAACAAAATAGAACTTTGGTTAAAACAAAATGGTCTTCATCCCAACTGTTCAAAAACACACTTACTTCATTTTCACAATCCACAGTTAAATACAGAAAAGGTAACCATCAGCTTGGATTCTGGGGAACAAATCAAGGCTTCAGAAAACATAAAATTTCTGGGTTTGTATATGAATGAACATTTAAAATGGACAGAACATCAATTTCAGGTGACTAAATCGTTAGCCAAAGCTTTGTTTGGATTAAGGGTCATCTTCAAAACAACGGGACTAAATGCTGCTTTGACTGTTTACCATTCCTATTTTATGTCCAGAGCTTTGCTATGGCATTATATCTTGGGCCAGCTCTCCGATCATAGATGGGTTTTTTATTTTTCAAAAAAAGGCCATAAGAGTTTTAACTGACACTGCACCTCGTACTTCTTGTCGTCCTCTGTTTGTACATTTGAAACTATTAACAATTCATGCTGTGTATATATATCAACTATGTATATTTGTTAAAAAACACTTGACCTCATTCTCATCACAAAATCACCAACATCCATATAACACTCGACATAGAAACACTCTTCAGTTCCCTATCCATAGAACAGTTATTTATGAGGAAGCACCTTTGTATATGGGTAGGAAGCTATTAACCACCTCCCTAACCAAATCAAATCGACAGAAAAGATGGATATTTTTTAAAAACTACTTAGGGAACATTTGGAACTACTTTGTCCTTATTCAGTTGATGAATTTTTTTGTAACTAACTCTTTTTGTTATATTTTAATCTTTCGACCTTATTTTTTAATATATTACTACGGTAACTACAATGAAATAAAATAAATAATATCATGTATTTTGTTTGAAAAACTGACGTGTCATATTACTGGTGATGTTTCACAATTATGTAAATTCTATGTGACAAATAAATATTTAATTTCATTTCATTTCATAAATTTTCCTCTTATTAGGACATAATATCGTCAGCATATCCTTGAGCGTACATGCCCTGTGCATTGAGCTCGGACAGGACATCGTCGACCACCAGGTTCCACAGATTTGGTGACAAGACGCCCTGTGGACACCCTCTTTGAGCCTTGACCTCTCTCACCGTCCCACACAGAGAAGCTTGCGCTCTCCTACTTTCGAGCATGTTGCCTATCTACCTCACTACAGTGCTTTCCACATTTCTTGACACCAGATTTGATACAATAGAGCGAG